CGAATATGTAGAAGATGTTTTTTTATTCCTTCACATTCCCAGTGGAACATAGGGTTTCAAGCTAGTGGCTTGAAGTTTCTGTAGCGGTGTTTATTTTTACAGTATGGGGTTGCTAGCCTCATGCCCAACATTTCCTCTTCACCAGCGTTATTTCTGGCTTAGCGAGGTAAAGGAGTGCGTCGACCGGGGATCGAACCCCAGACCACATGTGCATGGTCGGCGAGCGTCCTAACCGCTATGCCACCGATGCATTGTAGAAGATGTACAGCACACGAAATGTTTATGCCACGTGGCATACAGGTGCAGATTGACAGGAGAAGATCAAAAATTGAAATCACCATTTTAAGACAATGTTTACAGGGGTAGAAGCGCTTATTCTATTCCTCAAATCTGGATTTAGTTTACCTTGTAATCTTGAAATAATCTGATTGGACAACTTCTCGTCCCTTTGTTTAACCTTAGGCCAATAGCCAACCAATCAGAACAGTTTATTATCCCCTGACCTAGCCGACCTTTAATATGATTAATAATGTCTATGATGCGTTTTGCAAAAATAGAAAAAAGGTCGGGTACCAATTCTCTTATCTTCTGCCATTGCAATTTTAGTGATTTGACGGCTTGAAATACTTTATGATATATTATCTGTCGATAATTTGCAATAAGTAGATTATAACAGAGCACAGCAGTAGAGTGCTCGCTGACCACGCAGGTGTTCCGGGGTTCGATACCTGGTTGACGCACTCCCAAACCTCTCTAAGCCAGTAGTAAGACTTTTAAAGGGGGAAGGTTGAGCATAAGGCTAGCAACCCCATCCTGCAAAAATAATCACCACTGCTGCAGAAACTTCAAGCCTCTAGCTTGAAGGCCTATGTTCCACTGGAAACGTAAAGGAATAGAAAAAAAGGAAATAATCACAGAAGAAGGCCTTAAGGAGTCAAAATAAGACAGTAGGATTATTTAATAGGACAACCATCATTAAAATCTGCATTTTCATAATCAAAACCAACCTTTAGAATCTCAAAATTCCAACTAATTACTTCTTTTGTAAACAAATACCCACAATACTACACAGACAACAGTAAACAATTGAAGAATAACATCAGTAAAGATCACAAGAAGCGTTTAGTAAGTTTATCTAACGAGGTGGTCTTTCGTGAATCATAAGAACTGGTTATTACAGAACAATAGAACTACGGGTGAGTAGTCAACTCGGCACAGTTGTATATTGCCATTTTATCTTGTAGAATGAGGTTTACATGGTAATCAGAAAGCTGGAGGCTGTGATAGTGTCTCAGATACATGAAATTCACAGAGGGTATACTAAATGCATGGTCAAGCGTTTCTTGATCCAATTTAAAATAAAAATATTGTACGGAAATAATGATTTGACTCTTGTAGATATATCCTCTTATAACCACCAGATTTAATAGTCATAACTTAAACTGAACAACATATGACTAATTTTGCATGATTTGGTCTAAATTGATAACAAGCAAAACTTGATTGTGCGCTGATCCATAAAAAGTATTCATCTAATTAACAAAAGACAAAATTGGTTTTACTTGTTTGAATGGTTGTCGTATGTTTGCTTTACTAGTTTGGAAAAAATGAACTACATTTATTTCCTCTGATTTTAACTGTGCTTTGAAGTTACAGTAGCAATTGGGTTGATTTTCCAGTGTAGGGTCCCTAGCTCTACACTCAATCTTCACTCTTTTTTCTTGGCTTGGAACCGGCTAATAAACTAGGCGAAGTCCAACAATGTTGGCAGCAGAAGAAGTAGTGAAGACAAGGCTTCAAGTGGATATAGTAAAGACAGAGGTAATGAAGATAATCAACAAGGTCACTTCTTTCAGTTAATTAAGCAGCATCATTTCAACCAAAGGCGGCACGGATGAGGATGTCAAAGCCGGTCAGGAAAAGTGAAGCAAGAGAGGCCTTCATCACTGTGAAATTAGTGTGGAATTTTGTCACAATCAGCATCGAGAACAAGACCCGAATTTTCAACACTAATTTCAATCACTAAGTTTTTCTATATGGGTCAGGAACTTGGTACATCACGTAAAGCTTTTCAACGGCCTACATACATTTATCAACAGCTGACTTGGCTCTCTCCTTAGTGAAAATCAGATGGTCAAAAAGCACAGAAACTCTGGGACGAACCAATCAATAGCCTATTGTCCACTAAATATGCCAAGGGAAATGCATGGGACGTACGCTGAGCAAACCGTTGAATGGCATCAAACACAAGACAGGCCCTAGAGTGGAATCCGAAGGGGAAATGACGAGTTGGGCGTCTGAGTGTAATACAGAGGGGATAAGAGCTTCTGAGGAATCATAGAGCCAACTGAAGAGTAGTGCAGAGAACAGAATGGAATGGCAATATGCTGCTGAAACCCTGTGTTCCATTCAGGACCCAAGAGAATAATAACAATAGTTTCCCTTGATAAATAAACAGTATCACTTGATTTTCAAGTCTTGGACTGCGGAGATTCGGTTGACCTCAAGTTAGGTCGCTAATTGACATCAGTCAGAGGATCATCGAAAACCAGGGAGTATTGGGTAGGTGTTTTGTCCTAGTTTAGTACCCTTCATCTGTATGCACCTGTTTGGATACAACCTCTAGTTTCTCACATCAGAACACAATCAGTATAATCATAATCATATAATAATAATACATTTCTACATTTTTACTAATATTAACTTGTTTTACATGTTGTCACCTTCAACTGACAACAAACTAACAGTGTAAATATTTTTCATCAAGAAAAATATAGTAAGCCTAAAAAATAAGATCTATCTTCATCCCCGATAACTAAACTGTGATTCAGTTTAGAAAGCTGAAACAAGACTGATTTTCTAGTGATATTTTGTCATTTGTCCAACTTGTTAAAGAAAAAAATAATATAAAACTGACTTGTATCAATCAACCAAAGCTTCCCAACCAAAAGATAATAAAATCTATGGACTAGTTGCAATCAATGCCTAGATGACTTCTTCTTCTACTTACACATGATAAGATAAGCGATATTTTAATGTATAATAATATTAAAGTGTAAACTGTTAGGTAAATAGGGCAGATAGACTGATGATGTTATGAAACTATCGGCTGAGATATCTAGAGTATGCGCTAAACATAATGAACCATCACCTTTTCATAGCCAATAATCTTAGATGAAATAGTATTATCATTATTGTTTCCTTTAATTCTTAGAGGAACATAGGGCTTCAGCCACCCACGTCTCCATTGCGTTCGGTTCTCTGCTAGAGTCTTCATCTGGCTCCAAGTCTGCCCACACGTTTTCATCTCCTATTCACATGACCTCCTCCAAGTCACCCTTGCAATGACGACCAACTCGCCGCTTCCCTTTCGAGTTCCAATCGAGCAATGGCTTGTCTAGTGATGTCACTTGATGGTTTGTTTTCTCAGAGTATGGCCAATCCATCTCCATTTCTTCCTGCATATTTGTTTCACAATCGGTACCTACTTGGTTGGTTCGCTCCCAGAGATCCCTATTGCTGATCTTTTCTGGCCGGCCATCTGATCTTGAGTAGTAGTGAGCGAAGACAACTGTTGATGAAGGTCTGTAGTTTGTTTGAGATGCTCTTTATGAAGCGCCAAGTCTCTGATCCGTATAGTAGTACTGACTTCACATTGGAGTTGAAAATCCGGATCTTATTTTTCATTCTGAGTGCTGTTGACCTCCACACAGACTGGAGAGCAGTGAAAGTTTGCCTTGCTTTCCCGATTCTTGCTTTGATATCCTCGTCAGTTCCGCCTGTAGTTGAGACGATGCTTCCCAGGTAGGTAAAAGAGGTTGTTTCTTTCAGGTTCCTCCCATTTATGCTGATCGTTGTCTGTTGTTGTTTTTCTTATCCAGGAATCTTCATCACCTCTGTTTTCTCTATTTTCACCTGAAGTCCTACTCTATACATAAAGCTATAGGCGGTGGTCAAACCAAAACATGATAAGTTAAAGATGTTTGAACTACCACAGGTTGGGAATCTCGTCATCCTAAGGATCAATGGTTGAAGACACTTGGTCAAGTAGTTCAAAATCATTACCAAGGAAGATGGATATTCATCACTCCTTATCATCCTATAGATGAATAGAAGTTTCAGTAATCGTTGAATTGTTCTTTCTACC